AAAATATTTTCAAAAAATTGTAATTCAATTCCACTATAAAATATGTTGTCCACTATTTGTCCTCTATTTATTCAATTATTTTATTAAAATGTCCACTAATTACGAAACTTGAGTTGGTCACACTGCTTACAAGGTTATTCTCATATTTTTCTATTTAAAGCATTATAATATAAATTTAATGTTTATTAATCATATATAAATATTATTATGTTTTAATGAATTAAGAAAATGTTACCGAGATTATAGAATCTATAAAATAGATAGACTACTGAACTAAAAGATTACATACTATTCTTATAATAAATTTATTTGGTTATTATTTTCTAACAATAAACAAAGTGTCAATGAATAATTTTTTGAGCTTATTATAATTTTATTAGCATTTATAATTAAAATTAAAGTTTAAGCTAAGAGAGAGATTAAGTTGGTTTATTATACTGAACAGTGTACTTGCTCCACTCAATTTTGGCTCAACCTACAATATAAGTCTAATTTTAGTTAATTTATGAAATTAATAAAATATGTATTTATACATTATATTCAAATAAATTGTTTTGATTCACTACAAAAAGTATTCAAAACAGTGTGCAATACAGTACAACAAATATTTGAAACCAGTTATCATTGAGTGATAGTGTAATACGTAAAAACATGATGCCTCCACCAAGGTCACTTCTAACACTTTTTCCCTTTTACAAACACACATTTCTACCTTATATGATTATATGATATAACATGTGATTAAGTAATATGTATTTTATTTATGTGTTGAGAAAGTGTTAGCCATTTTTTACTATCAAAACAAAAATACTTTTAATATTAAATTAAATTAAAAACCTATTAATTAAAGTGAATATAAACTAAAAAGTTATAAAAATTAAAATTACTTAATAATGGGTTACGATAGGGCTAGGTTTGTGAGCAGCAATGGTGAGCACCTGGATGAATTTATTTGTGGTATATGCATGGATATACTGATACACCCAGTATTTAGCCCCTGTTGTAGGCATAGCTACTGCAATGACTGCATCCAGGAATGGCTTAAAACAAACAATACCTGTCCCAATGACCGGGCACAGTTACGTGACACTGACCTCATACAACAGTCACGAGCTTTTGTCAACCTATTGGACAATTTGCGACTTAATTGTGATTTTAATGGTAAGGGTTGCGACACAACTGTCCGGTTGAGTGATTTGGGACAACATGTGAAGTACTGTCCGTACAATCCGTGCAATAAGTGTCCCGATTGTGAACAACCCGTCGATAAACATCACAATTGTGTCCACAATTTGAGACAACAAGTACTCAATTTGACGGTTGAGGTGAACCGGTTAAGGGCCAGTAAGTCGGCCATACATGTGACACCTGTTATGGCACCGGTATGTTATAAAACACACGTAGAAAATTGCTACACAACTACTATTTACTATATAAATTGTATTTTATGACATTAATATATAAATATGCTTGTATATTATAATATTGTAGATATCATTGTTATTAACCTGTTTATTTTTTATCAATCACCCTGGTCAGTCTGGTAACTCGGCGTTGCGAATAAACTCGTGTGAATTGCCAGTCGATATCCAGGAGGTGGTCATAAAAATAGCCAAACGACTGGAACAGGAGTGTACATCGCAACGGGAGTTGGCCGTACAGTTGAAACAGGAACTGGATAAAAATTATGGCACCGACTGGACCTGTATGATCCGGGAACCTGGCCGGGCAGCCATTGCCTTTTATTGTGAACGCAACTCGTTTATTAATTTTGACCTAGGTCCTAATAATTGGATTGTGTTTAAAAATAAGGAATGGAAATAAGTGGGCATCTAGTTAATTGTAATTAATTCATCAATGTAATATCGATTTAATTTTTAATATTTTTTAAGAATACTAAATACTTTTTGATACAAAATATTAAATTGTGTTATATTTACATAATAAATCATTTTTCATATAAATGAGTTTTTAAAGTTAAACTAAAAAATACCACAAAATAATTAATTACAAAAATGTACATTGAAAATAATTCCTATTAAATATAAGCAGACCTGAAGATATGGGGTCATTTTTAGAGAAACGGAAATTCAAAAAAAATGGTTTTGTGGCAAAGGGGCAAATGTCAATTTAAATTAGAGTAATAAGATTAAAGTGTTTAATCATATGCAATTCA